AGAAAGAGAGAAAGAAAGAAAGAAAAAGACAAAGAAAGAAAAGAAGGAAAGAAGGAAGAAGGGAGGGAGGGAAGGAAGGAAGGGAGGAAGGAAGGAAGACAATCAGGGGGCTGGAAGGACCTGGGAGAGCGTGAAGCCCACTTGGATGAGGATCAAAGCTCAGAGAGGCCGTGTGCTTTCTTAAGGTCACACAGCTTAGGTAAGGGTTAAAATAAGAGAACATTTAACCCATTTATGCCTGAGGTTGCCATTTTTGAATTTTTGCAATCAGACCTTGGCGATGACCTTAAGCAGTAGGATATAAATACCTCCCACGTGCTCAATGTTCCAATAATGGAACACTAGGCATAAATGGGTTTTAAACAAGTAAAAACAAAAACTCATTTTTCTGATTCCTAGTATAGTGCTTGTTCCTCTACATAGTGTTGCTGTCTAGATCTTTTTTTAGGTTGTTCATCCATTTTGGAAGCCTAATTGGCAACATACTGGAATTTTCTGAAATCCACAGAGAGAAAAAAAGAGCCAACTTCATTCAGTTTTTTTGTTGGCTTGTTTTGGTGGAATGTATAAACAATTCACCAACAGACATCATTTCATAGTCTGAAAGCAGTAGGGAATTAAAGAGATTTTGTGCTCAACCTCTCAGTAGAGGAAAGCCCTGTGACATCAATGCACAAGGCTTTGGTTGAATTATTTTGGATTTGAGGTATGTGTGTGGGATTTGGGGCATGAAAAGAGGTAAGAGAGGAATTAAAAGGAATTGTTGCTTTCTGGAGAGCCCTGAGGTCAGATACAACTACAGTGAGCTGATCTGCATCTCTTCTTATAAGGAAAATACTATCACTCAGCTACGTTTCTGAGAAAGAGAAGCTTTCTGTTTAAAAGAGGACCACAATGAGTTTGTTGAACTAAATGACTCTTTGTGAAGGAATGTTGTAACAAGGAATGGCTAAATGTCATTTGAAATAGGCAAGTTAATCCAATCTGTCACTGATGGACATTTGGGTTGATTCCAAGTCTTTGCTATTGTGAATAGTGCCGCAATAAACATACGTGTGCATGTGTCTTTATAGCAGCATAATTTATAATCCTTTGGGTATATCCCCAGTAATGGGATGGCTGGGTCATATGGTACATCTAGTTCTAGATCCTTGAGGAATCGCCATACTGTTTTCCATAATGGTTGAACTAGTTTACAATCCCACCAACAGTGTAAAAGTGTTCCTATTTCTCCACATCCTCTCCAGCACCTGTTGTTTCCTGACTTTTTAATGATCGCCATTCTAACTGGTGTGAGATGGTATCTTTCAGAAAACTTGCCTATTTACATGAGCGCCTCTAGCCATTCACAGTTGCCCACGTAATGCAAATCCTTTGGCTTCTCCATCACCGGGACACCTTTCCTTGGAGTGAGCCTCTTCTCAGTCTTCAGGATCCAGCTCAAATTGCACCTGATAAAGTGTAGCCTTCTCATACTGGCCCAAGGCCAAACTCCTTTGTCAGGTTTGCATCTATACCTCAATATGGAATTTACCAAAATGATTCCTTCCTGCCTTTCCTTCTCCACTTGATCATCAACTCCTCAAGATTAAGGACAAGGTTATATTCATCTTTACACTCTATCTTTACACCTAATACAGTGCCTGTCCGTGTGATGGCTGATTTTATTTGTCAATATTGGGGGCACAACAACATGATGCGCTGTTGTTTGGTCAAACATCAGCCTAGATGTTGCAGTGAAGGTATTTTAAAAGATATAATTGATATTTAAGTGAGTTGACTTTGAGTAGATTACCATACATCATGTGGGTGGTCCTCATCCCATCAGTTGGAGGCCTTAAGAGAAAAGACTGAGGCCCTACAAAGGGGAAGGAATTCTGCCTTCAGACTCAAGTCTGCAATGTCACCTCTTGCCAGAACTTCCAGCCTGCTGGTCTGGCCCTGCAAACTTTCAGACTTGCAGTTCCCACACTTTCTTTTAAAATGAATCAACCTCTGTCTCTCTCTCTTTCTGTCTCTCTCCATATACATGTATATGTCCAAATATATATGTGTATGTATTGAATCAATATCTTGTTGATTCTGTTCCTCTGGAAAACATGGAGTAATGCAGCACATGTTTAGTAAGAGTTTATTGAACCACCGACTTAATAGCAAGGACAGGAAGGTGGCAAGTAGGGCTAAAAGCTGGGTGGGAGAGGGAAAATGCTGGAAACTATGTGGGTAGATAGAGATTGAATAACCAGGGAAGAAACTGCATGCCACTCTTTTTAAAATAATGATGTCTACCTTTATTATGCACCTGGGTACCATATGTGCATGGAAATATTTTAATGCAATTGGATTTCCTTGAATTTTAGAGACTCTCATGTAAATATCAAACTGTAAGGTAGAATGCGATTAAGATATTGAAAAAGGGATTTAGGCCAACATAAAGCACATATAATAAAGGGTATTTATGTTTTATGGGGGATTTTCCGGAATCTTTAGAATCTTTGGGGACTGGATTAAGTCCCTGGGATTCCTAAACCCTTAGGAGTCCTCAAACTATTTTCAGTATTTTAAAAGTCACATTGAAGTCCTACCCCTGCCTGCTAAGCCTGCCCAGTCTCATTAAAATGTCAAATTTTGTTTGCTTTGGGCTAAAATTCTATGAACCAAGTTTGATGGTTATCTGTTGCTGCCCAGTATCTCTAATTGGCAATTGCACATATCTTGGAATAACTTTTTAAAAATGGAAGCATGGATCAACTAATTTGAAAATACAGATTGTTTGATAACAAAGTCTTTTAAAACTAAGGAGGCACAAAAGGTGGAGAAAAAGAGAAAGGTAATGAATGGAGTTTCTAGTGATGGGCAGGTGAGGAGCCTCCTAGTGGATAATTACTGAGCTCCTGAAAGGCCCAAGAGTTGAGTAAAGTCAGTGCAGTATCTGGTTAGCTGTAAAGTTCATGGTGGTCCAATGTTAAATGCCCTGAGGTTGCACATCCAGCCAAACTCAGGCACAGATGCCACTAGGGAGGTGGCTCAGAGAAGCCACCACAGGAAGCCAGAGCATCCAGGTGAGATGTAACATGCTTACAGCCACTGCAGCAGCACTGTTCATTCAGCCTTGATCAAGGAAGGCCAGGAGCTCCAAAACTCAGCCAAACTTTGGGCCCCATCTCTGCCCCTCACTAGGCCTTTGACCTCTTTGTGCCTCAGTTTTCTCATTGGTAAAAGAATCGATAATGATGGGTTCTAGAGTTGTTGCAATAAATAGTGTAACATATAAAGCACGCAGAACAATGACCGGAACAAAGCAAGCCTCCAATGCAGGTGGATTCTTGTTACACGTCAGGCACTGTCCCAAGAATCTTGCACACACCTTTTCCCAGTCCCCAGAACAATCCCCCAAGGAAAACACTATAATTGTCTCCATTTCATAGATGAGTTTAAGGAACTTGTCCAATGTCACTCAGCTCATCCATGGCAGAAACTGGACTCAAACAAAGCCTTGATATTACCAACCAGGGTGTGCCTGCCTGGGGACACCAACTTACCTCACTCACTGTGTGCCGTGGGGCCAGTTGCCTGGCCTCCCTGAGTTTGCATTCTTTCATCTGTAAAGGTAGAGGGTTATTTTCCAATTTCAATAATATATGCATTATGGTTATGTATGAGGTCATCATTGGGGAAAGCTGGGCACGTACACACCCTCTAGACTCATGTTGTAACTCCTCCTAAGCTAAAATGATTCAAAGTAGAAAGTTTACAAACCACTGTAGGGATACACTACTTGGCAATTTTCCTTGTATTGGGCACATACATGGTGCTCAATCAATGCTTCTTGATGTGATTTGTTTGATTTCTAGACACTAGAATGTGACCAGTACTGACCATATTGCTTTGTGTGACATGAAAAAACAGGTCACTACAAAGTCTCTCGATTTAAGTAGCAAAAACAAAGAATCTGAGTTGATGGAAGCATTTTATTCTTTAAAATAGTATCTCTCGGCTGGGTGCGGTGGCTCAGGCCTGTAATCCCAGCACTTTGGGAGGCTGAGGCGGGCAGATCTCGAGGTCAGGAGATTGAGACCATCCTGGCTAACACGGTGAAACTCTGTCTCTACTAAAAATACAAAAAAAAATTTAGCTGGGCGCGGTGGCGGGTGCCTGTAGTCCCAGCTACTTGGGAGGCTGAGGCAGGAGAATGGTGCGAACCTGGGAGGTGGAGCTTGCAGTGAGCCAAGATAGTGCCACTGCACTCCAGCCTGGGCGACAGAGCAAAACTCCGTCTCAAAAACAAACAAACAAACAAACAAACAAACAAACAAAAAAACCAAAAAGAATAGTATGTCTCATGGTATTAAAAATTTATGTATTTAAAATAAAAAAAATAATAATACAAATAAACTAGGAGGTTGGAGGCAGAGATCTCTAAGGCCCCTTCCTGGGGTAAAATGCTTGTTCAGGATAGAACAAGCCACTCCTTGCAGGTCCCCTCCCCCAGCCCCCTTGAGCAGAGGCAGGATTTTGTGTACGTCTTGCCCAGTGCCTGAGGCTGTCAGTCACACCTCCCTGTCTCCTTTCAGTTTAGACACTGACCTCCCTGGTAAACACGAGTGTGTCCAACTTCTACCCTTGAAATTACTATAGCTGCCTTCGGGAGCAGCTGGAAATCCTTTCTGCCAGGCATGTTTTGTCTGATCACATCTGGCCAAAGTGGAGGTAAATACAGAACTAAACAGCTCTCTTTCTGTGTCTTGGGGAGCAGTGAAAACCTGGGATCAGGCAGGTGGGCTCCAATCACTTTTCCCAAAAACAGCCACAAAGGGGTTCTTAAGAAATAAGTAAATAAAAATAAAAGCCCAGTGTTCTCTTTTTGATTGAACACCCCGTTAACTACCCGGGGTTTTGTTCTGGACAGAGAGCTCTGTGTCTCTTAATTTGTTACACAAAAATTAAGCAGAACTGGACACATGAGTCAATCTCTGTGTGCCTCAGTTTCCCCATCTGTTGTCAGTAAGCTTCTGTTCTGTGAGAAGCACTTTATTTATATGCTGGAAAGGGAGGGGGTGGGAGGGAAATAGAATAGAAATGCAGGGCTTCTTTTTTCTTATTTTAATCCATGGCCACACTGTAAAGCAGCCCATTTTAAAAACTCAGCTGTCAGAAGAAAGTCAGTAAGACCATACCAGTGGGGCTAGGACCAGGCTGAACAGAAACAATTGACGTGGTTCTAGCTTGGTTCCTTCACAAATAGCTCTCACTGGGAGCTGCTCCTCAAGGCCAGGCCTTCTGGGTCGTCCTGGGCGTCAGATGGAAATGATTTGGGCACATCCGGTATGGCTTGAATTTGATCCTTAGGGTAAGATCTGAGAAAGAAAAGAAAGGCAAACTGATTCCCCTAAAAACTATGCATTCTGAAAACCTGATATTTAATGCCCACCCCTTAGAGCTGTATACCTAATTATTGGTTTGTAAGACACAACATGATTTTCCCCCTAATTCTTTCCAAAAATGCATTCCACAAATTGTTAGCATCCCTGCCAATAGCCTCAGTCAACTCACATACCAGCTTTAAAGTCAACCCCTTTTAAAGCAGTGCATCAGTCCCTTGAGTTTGGGGATTATTTCCAGATTCCTATAGCTGCTGGCCTTTTTTTTTTTTTTTTTTTAAGTTGAAAATGATCATGTGTCTTTGTAGCTGTTAATTTTTAGAGAGAAATAGACAGTGGCAGCAGTGCATGTACACAATAGCTGTGATATCCTCTAAGGCCCCTTAGCACAGTCTAAGACACTCCACCACCCACTTCCTTGTTGCATCAGCTCTTTCATAAGGGCTCAAAACTCTCCATGTTCAGAATGTCCAAGAAATTCCCATATATGTTATTGAGGCTTTGCCATTATGATTTGTCATATTACGGAGAGGTGGTGAAACATGATGGCTTAACACATGGCCTCCCGAACAAACTGCCCAGCTTTGAAGCCCAGCTATTTGCTACTTGTCCCTGTGTGACCTTGAGCAACTTATTTAACTGCAGGGTGCCTTAGTTTTCTCATCTGCAAAATGGGAATCATATTAGTACCTACTTTATACGCAAATATGTATAAAGTTGTGTTCAAGCAGGGCTTGTACAGAATTAGTTCCACACAAATGCGAGTTACTATCACACAGTGTTTTTAGGTAGGGCTTTGCACCATCAGGGACTGCTCTGATGACTTTTAACTATCCACATGGAAGATGGCCAGAAGAATCTGGGGACAAATGAAAATGCATGCAGAGAATGAAGGGAAGGATGCCAAGTGGCTTTGTGACTCTTCTGAGGACATTTAATTTTCTTTAAAAAAGGCTGATGAAGGAGGGAGTTATAGACTGTAAGGACCAGGGAGTGCTCAAAGACCATGAGGCTCTCCTCCTCATTGCAGAGCCTGTTGTTAGGAAGTTGAGTGCAGAACTTGTGCCAGCCCCTGGGATCTCTCAGTCCCCAGCCCCTAGGCCCAGTTCTTCCCATTGCTCAGTGCTGCCTCTCTTGGGGGAGAGGCACTGGGTCCTCAGCTCTCCTAGTGTGGATTCTACAGCACTCAGGTGGTTGGCCTTGTTTTGAGTTTCGTCTTTTCTGATTCCCTATATATCTTTTGGCAGGACCGTTTTGCTCAAATGCAATTTTCTCACCCGACTCCCACACTTACGAGTCTCTAGGGCTTCCCCCCCTGTGTGTGGTGTGGCTTTGGACCTGACTCTAATTTTTATGGAGGCTTAAAGAAGCAGTTTCATTACTTCTCATGTTTTATGTCACTTCTTATTCCATCTAGTGCTTAATAATTTGCTTTCCCAACAAGTAGGTGCTCAGTAAAGGCTTTTTGACAACAGAAGGGACATAGGGGTACTGAAAAGTTGCTCGACATAAGTATCTCCAAGGCTACTCAGCAATTTAATGGCAGGTATAGGAGAAGATCACAGTTTCCTCTTTGTTCTCTGTTGCATCTGATGGGAATAGGATGTGGAAGCGTGATACCTCCACTTAGATAATACAGAAGACATGTTTATTCTGACCATTGAAGTCATCTGTGACACGGAGTGTCAAACAATATTTATTTTCAGCCTCCAATGGGATGGCAGAGATAGAAAAGAACAAGAGGCAGCCTAGGCTAGCAAGGAGGGCCTGGACTGGAAGTCAGGAAGTTATGTGATTGTTCGTAGAGGATGTAATGATTAGAAGCTATTCTTAATCAAATAATTCTTAATACAAATTCTTAGAACTTCCGTGTCTTCAGCAGCTCATGCAGCTAAGAAAGAAATTATCCACGCCCTGGGGGACCCTAAAACCCACCAGCATCAGCTCCCTGGCTGCCACGCTCAACCCAAGAGCGGAATAAGTTTCATGGGACCTGTGCCACATACTGAAACAGGACTGCCAGCTTCCCAGAGTGGTCAGTGATGCTCCTCCAACTGCAGCTACTCTTTGACGACCTGGAGGGGTGTTTAGTCATCATCTGAGCCAGTGCAGTTCAGATCAGCCCAGGGTTCTGATGAGGCACCACACAGGCATGGGGAGGATGTGGGGAGCTGAATGGGCAGAGTCCTGGGGCCCCTCCTTCATTTCCACTGGGCAGCCCTGCTTTCAAAGAAAGTGTTGTGATTTAGAAAGAAGAAAACCTTGACTTAGAGCCACTGCTTTGGGGAATTAAGTCTCAGAGATGAAGTAATGGGCTGCAGGTCATTCAGTCAGTTGGTAGCAGAGCCTGGGGTGGAATCCAAACCTTGAGCGCCTTGTGCCCAGTCCCCTTCCACTTCATTCGCTCGTGCTGCCTAGTGTCTCATTATACATATACATCTCAAATAACGATGCTAGAGGATGCTCCAGTAACACTTTTTTTAAAAAGCATTACAAAAGAAAGCACCAAAATGTCCACGAAAGCATGTACAAGGTTATCGATCTCCAACAGCCCAACGCAACAAGATACTTTCACACCCAGCTTGCAGGTGGACTGTTCTCTCTCCTCCACCCCAGCTGAAGATAAACAACGCCAGCCCTTGGCATCATCAGCTAGTCAATAACTTAGTTTTCCAGGTCCTACTTAAAAAAGACAGTCCCTCCTCCTCTTTAGCCCTTTTTTCACTGTCAAATCAAGAAGGAATCTGCCACCAATAATTCTACCGGAACCTCCATTGACTGACTACATTTCCGCTGTGAATAAATGTCTTCAGAATTCTCTGTTCCTTTGTGGTATGTGCTGTTAACATTTTATCTCTAATGATTTCAGTAAAGACTTTTTATGAAAGGCATTTCGAATGTCTGTGACAGAAACAAGGGTTCTGTTTTCTCGGTGGCTGGGGAAGACCTGGTGATCATATCAGGTGTTAATTCAAGCTACCCTCAGGTGGCTTAAGAGCAAGTCCTGTTTTGATCTTTTAAAGGCAGAAATCCCTCCCTAGTCATCAGGACCTATGAGTAGAACTTGAAGCATCCTTTGTTGGTTTTTCAACCACAGGCTGCCTGAAAAGCCCCTCCACGCCTCTTGCCAGGACTCTGCCTGGTAGGGAAAGACACAAGGGCCGTGGTGGCACCCTCTTCCCTGGCCCCTTTCCTATTCTACCAAAAATCTTAACTTTCCCCTGCCTCTGCCAACTCCCCTGTGGTCTCAAGTGTTCCAGGAAATGAGGAGTAATTCTTTAAATCTTGCTTTAAAAGGGGAACACCATGTGACTCCTCCCTGTGGTGGGTGAGGGGTGGGGTGGGGAGGCTGAGGGGGCTCAGTGGTGCCTGGAGAAGTCCAGGTTCGGGTCTCCTGGGGGAGGAGCCAGCTCTGTCCCTTCCACTCAGCATCAGCCAGCCTGGAGACCACATCAGATTGGCATAGCTCCCTGGAACAGTCTCCCATTCCCTTCATCCTCCACCACCGCCCCACCACCCCGCCCCCGCCTTCACTTAGCTCTTCCCTCCCTCTGCCCCCAGGCTCCTACTTGCATTCTTTATATCTTCTGGCATTTTTCATGTTGTTTTACTTTGTATTTAATAATAGCTCCACATTCTCTTCTTTATCTGAAATCAAGGCTCATACCTGCATCATGCGTTCACTTTGGGAGTAAAATTTATGGCCGAGCTTGACATGGGGTTAATTGCTTTTCATTAACTTCATACTTCTTAATTATTACAAATTATTTGCCTGTACTAGAAACAGTTCCATCCTGTGCTCCAAATTTACTGGCCTTCAATTGCAACCAGAAACGGGAAGTCTTGGATTGCCCGTGCTTGGGGAGTGAGGTTCCTGGCTTTGCGCATCAGAGTCTGACCAGACTGAGGGTAGGAAGAGGGTGGTAATTCTAGATCTTTAGACTTCAAAGCCCAGATTAGGGCCCGTAGGCCAAATAAAAATTGAATTTAGCTTTTCTGAGCCATAGACTGTTCTGTGTCTCAATTCTCAAATCTATAAAGTGGAGTTAGAAAGAGAGAAAGGCACGATGTGTATATTTAATAACAAGTTTACTTTAAAATCAGTTTGAAAAACCTATACTTCATATAATGAGTGGGGTTTCTAAAGCAAGAAAGAGAGAAAAAGTATACCCACCAAAGGGGAGGGGAGAATAAATCCCAGTGGAAAATTCGTGCCTTTCTGGGGTTGGAGTCATTTGGTCAAGAAATGATGAAATTACAAATTTCTGAAAAGGGCGTGTGTGTTGGAGTTCCTGAGGTCCAGGTCTCCGCATGGTACTTGGGCAAGGCCAGTGTTGAACTCTAAGGAAGAATAAAGACAAGGAAGTGATCACGACCAGCATTCTTTGCCAAAACAGCAGTGCCTCCATGGCCTCTTATTGCCCATGAGTCTCTTCATCTCATGGATTTGGAAGCAAGCTCTCTCAGCAAGCCTGTACACCCATTGTCCCTTGCAATGTGATTCGTCCTTTAATTCTTTAGATAGGAATGGTTGGTAAAAAGGGAATCGCAGCTGGAGGTTTGTGGGAACTGGCATATTCAGACTACACAAAGGCCCTGTGTGTGCAGCCGCAGCCGCAGCTGTGGGAGCCAAGGGCCTGGCACTGGGGAGCAGTAGGTATTTCTCAGTGCAGGAAAGCATTCCTGTCCGTGCTCACAATCCATCTGGGATTGACTTTGAACTCACACGCAGAAAAAAAGAAAGAAGTCGGCCCAGCAGCTGAGCCCAGAATCAGCTGGGAGGACATTCAAAGTTCTCTGTAAGGGAGCGTGGATGGACAGAGGAGGACAAGGATGTGTAGCCACTTCTGCAATCTCTCAGACCATTGCCAAGTGGGCTAGCAGCAGCAGATGTTCCAGCAGGAGGGCAGCGTCTGTGCCCAGCGGCAGGGCCATTGAGTCCTTGCTGGAACCATCCCACGATGTGGGCTGAGTCTTGTTCTCAGCTGACTGGCTTTCCAAGCTTAACAATCTGGCTTTACCAAAGAGTCTGTGAGCCACCCAATATCCTTTAACAAATTCCTTTTCTGTTTAAACTAGCTAGATTGGTCTTTACAGCTTCTAATGGAAGGCCCTGGCTCTGATAGCTTTCAAAGGCTGGAGCTCTGTGGCTTTTAATACTCCATGCTAAAGAAAGCACAACGTTTTGCTTTGTTTTCTGCAAATAAAATGTTTTGTTCTCCTCTTCCTATGTGTGTATTTATATAATTCAGTTAGGCTTTAATATACAAGCTCTGAACTCTCCAACTATCAAAGCAGACGGTTTAAGAAAAGAAGGAAAGCAGACGCCTCTTTCTCCCACTTTCAAAAGCACACACTTAAATTTTGTCTGGAAAAAAAATCTAAGCTCTCTAGCTCCACTCGGTGTCCTGTTGAACAGGCGTGGGACCATGTTCCTTTTTAAGAGAATGAAAATGGAACTTGCTCACTGTAGCTTCGTTGAACCACTTTATTCTTTGACCAATTTTGGATGGGTATTTTAATTAAAATGTTTTTTTCGGCCAGGCACATGGTGGGCTCACGCCTGTAATCCCAGCACTTTGGGAGGCTGAGGTGGATGGATCACGAGGTCAGGAGATCGAGACCATCCTGGCTAACACGGTGAAAGCCCGTCTCTACTAAAATTAAAAAAAAATTAGCGCATGCCTATAATCCTAGCTACTTGGGAGGCTGAGGCAGGAGAATAGCTTGAACCCAGAAGGCGAAGGTTGCAGTGAGTTGAGATCACGCCACTGCACTCCAGCCTGGGTAACGGAGCGAGACTCCATCTCAAAAAAAAAAAAAAAAAAAAGTTTTTTTTTTAAACTAAAAACAGTATGGGATAGTGGCCAAGAGCATGGGCTTTGGAGTTAGGTCAACTTGGATTTGAATCTTGCTGCAGCTATATACTAGCTTTGCGACTGTGTCTTGCTACTCAGGTTTTGTGAGGATCCTCTGTAAGATGAATATAATAAAAATGTTCACCTCACAATATTATTGTGAGGATTAAACAAGATCCAAGCTCTGGCTTAATTTGCCGTTAGAGAATGACGCAGGGGAGTTAATTCATTGTAGCTAAATGATACAATTTAAAATCAAGATTTAAGTGCTTTCAGAAGTGGTGCATTTAGAAACATTGAGGTCTCCTTGTTACTCTCTTTTTAAATATGATAGGAATTACAGTTCTTATAGAGATTATGTTACACAGTAATCTACTTTTACACAACAGTGTAAATGTTGTCTTGGAGAAATTACATGCTCAGATGGCAGAAGCTCTTCAGTGGCAATGAGGGCTTGGACTACTGGGCTACTCTTCTGCTTGGAAGACCTTTCCCATCTTCTGTTCACCCCACCATGGCTCAATTTGGTTTCTGCCTACCTCCCTAATCCTACACCACTTCAGCCTTCATTACTGACCTTAGCTGTTATCTGTTGCCTAAACACCTTCTTCAAGTTCTTTGAGTTACACTGAACTCACCTGTTATCTGTTGCCTAAACCCTCTCTTCTTTCTCAGGACTATTGCATTTGTTATTTCTTCAGCCTGGAGCACACGCACAGGTACACACACACTTACGCAAATACACACAAAATCATTCAAAGTTCGATATATATGAAACCTTTTCCGAGAGAACTGTCTTTGATGATGTGTGGTGGCTTTTAGTCATATAAAATGGCTTTATATATTTTAAAATACTTTTGGTTATGAAAGTATATTTCTCAAGGCATAAAAATATACAAAACATATTTAATATAGCAGTTTATTAGCTTGGTTGAGTTTTTAAATATTTAGACATTACTTACAGCAAAACGTTGAAAGCACCTAATTTTTTTTTCCTGTGGGACATTTAAGTTCTATCCAAATGATGCAACAGTGTCCAGCCATAGAATAAAATTGTTTGAAGTCTATACAACATGGAGAAATCCTTATGATAAAGATAAGAATAAAATATGAATATAAATCAAGAATATGTGGGAGTGAAACATGCATATGGAAAGAAAGAAAGAAAATAGTTCTTAGGATAGGAACATTAGGGAATCTTTTCCACTTATTTTCAAGATATTTATATGATTATATTTAACTCTATAATTACAGGTTAAAAACAGGTTGCAACTCCATAAGTAACCTGTTTCCATACCATTACAGCAGCTGCCTGTGGAGAAGGGCTCGGAGCTGACAGGCTACTCGGCCTCATCTGCCTTCCTGTCCAGCAGTGGCAGGATTTCCACACCTGCTTCCATGCATTGGCATGGTGGGAAGATGGCCGCAGAGAATAGACAGGTCAGATCAAATGCCAGCAAGAGAAATATTTTAGGCCGGGCACAGTGGTTTATGCCTGTAATCCCAGCACTTTGGGAGGCCTAGGCAGGCGGATCACCTGAGGTCAGGAGTTTGAGATCAGCCTGGCCAACATGGTGAAACTCCGTCTCTACTAAAAACACAAAAAATTAGCCGGGCGTGATGGTGCGTGCCTGTAACCCTAGTTACTTGGGAGGCTGAGGCAGGAGAATCGCTTGAACCCGAGAGGTGGAGGTTGTCGTTACCCGAGATTGTGCCATCGTACAATTGCACTCCAGTCTGGGCAACAAGTGTGAGACTCTGTCTCCAAAGGAAAAAAAAAAAAAAAAAAGGGAAGAAAAAAAGAAAAAAAAATGCCAGTTGTGAGAAATATTTTAAAGAACAAATCTAAAAAAGTGGGCAATTTAGCCCTCCAGGTGGATAATTCTAGGGAATTCTGGAGTTTAAGTCTGCATGCCTTTGGCTGGCACCCAGACTTAAATCCATTCAGTTATCCTGCCAGTGAAGCAAACAGACAAGTGAACAAGCCAGATCCAGCAAGAGTCAGTCACAGGGCTCCACAGGAGACCGTTAAGAGCCCTGAAAGATGAGCAGATATTAGGCAGGCAATGAAAAGAGGGCAAGGTGGGGTGGGTGATGGAGGGTAGTTCAAAGGCAAGGGGACAGCGGGTGCAAAGGCAGAGCCTAGGAGGGGTGCTGGACCTCTGAAGGTCTGCACGAGGCTCTGTGGGGCACAGCCTCGGAGAATTACCCTGATGACTGTCTGGACGGGACTGGAGGAGAGTAAAAGCGGAGGCAAGGGGAGCAGCTAGAAGGCTGCTGAGATGTTGAAAGAGAGAAAAGATGAGGGATTGACTCAAGGCAGAACAGTGGGGATGGAGAGGCAATGAATTTGCAAGGTAAGAGGTGACGGAATCAGCAGGACTTCGTAACCATCAGAAAAAGGAAAGTCAAGGGTGATCATCAAGATGCTGGCTAGACATCTGGGTGCACTGGTGGGGCCAACATTGCCAAACAAGTGTCTAGAGACAAACGAGTACTTGGTATTCATTCGTATTTTAGATAGAAAACTGCCTGCCCCTTTCCCATATTCTAATCCACGGACATCGATTGTGTTTTTATTTACATTTTATGGTTACATAGGGTAAGCTCTATAGTTAATAATCAGAGAAAGAAGTCACACCAGGGAAGGAATTCCAAGCCTCTTTAGAAACAATCTTTTGTCATAAATATCCAGAGGCATTTATGAATAAATACTGACCCCCAGTGTCTATGTACAGAAACAAAAATTTAAAAAACTATGTAAAATACCAAGACTCCTGGGAGAGTACCTGAAATTCCAGCTGCAAGTAACATTCCCTGCAATCCAATCCCAGGATCCTAGCGGGCATCCTCAGAGATAAAAATACTGACTGGCTAACCTATGACCAGCAGCTGTCTGGAGAACTCTAACGAGTATTCTACAGAATGAGTGTCGGGATGGATTACATGGCCTCAATCGTGGTGCAGAGCTATGTGTTGGCCTTTGCCCCCTCTGCTTCAGAGGTTACATATGTAAAAGTCTAGGTTCAATTACTCCAAAGAGTCTTCCCACTAGGGGTAGATTTTATGCAATTAATCTGACTAATACAAACTCCAGCTCTGTCTGATTCCCCAACCAGTTCAACACGACATCCAGATAATTTTCCTCTAAGGCGGATAAAAGGCAGTGTGGTTGGGCAGACTTTCCCTTTTCAATACTGTGTGGTTAGGGTTAAGTTCACGAGATTTTTAAATTTTTTTTTATTTTTTGAATTGGAGTTTTCCCCTGTCGCCCAGGCTGGAGTGCAGTGGCGCGATCTCAGCTCACTGCAACCTCCGTCTCCTGGGTTTAAGCGATTCTCCTGCCTCAGCCTCCTGAGTAGCTGGGATTACAGGCACGTGCCACCACATCTGGCTAATTTTTGTATTTTTAGTAGAGACAGGGTTTCACCATGTTGGTCAGGCTGGTCTTGAACTCCTGACCTCATGATCTGCCCGCCTCAGCCTCCCAAAGTGCTGGGATTGCAGGTGTGAGCCACCGCACCCAGCCAAGTTCACAAGAAATTTTTGAGTAAATGCTCTGCAGCAAAATAACTCCTTCAGCCGGAGTGGCTGCATCCTGAGAGAGAAAGTGGCCCTCTAGCATCTTGGCCAAGAGTTGCTATAGTTTGCTATCAGATGGCATCTATTTTTTGTAAACTAGAAAATAGGCATAGACTCTTTGAAAATATGCTTATGTCACTGTCCCATTCTGGACTACATGGAGGTTTTTTAAAACTTGGCTTTATAAAGAATTAAATTTATAGGTCAGGTAATGAGGCTGTCTTGATAAGGTAGAGCCTCCTTCATGAAAATAAGACATTTTTCCTGAATCTTGTTTTTTTAAAAACCAAATAGACTTCAGTTTAAATAGCCAACTATGACATGATCAAAGGCAAATTTTTAATGCCAACAGAATCCATTCGACTCTGTTGAGAGCAGCAAGAAGCATGCCTGACAGGCCATTGACCTTCAGCAGTCTTGATCCAAGGGTGTGTGGAAGAGTAGAAATGATAACTACTTTAGTGTCACATGGAATCAAGCTGAACCATGACAGCGAGCTAAGTGACACAAGGGACACTTGGGAGGTGGCTGCTATAAGGAGCTAAAATCCAAGGAAATGGAGGCCCAGAGATTAAGTTCAAAAGCCAAATGTTGGCACCAAGAAGGGATATCACCCAAAGGTACTAAGGAGAATAAATAGAAGGTTCTGCATCAAGAGAAAGTAATTCCATTACTATTTGTTAACTGCAAGGTGATGGCAATCATAGTCGCCTTTCAGACTTGTTGTTTCAGCACACAAGCTCATTGCTGGCCTGATGCAAGCTGTAGCCTCAAAGGTAATAGAAACAAAATAAGCATACAATTTGTTTCTTGACAAAATAATACAGACTTAAGAAGTCTTTCTCTTGGGCCAGGTGTGGTGGCTCACGCCTGTAATCCCAGCACTTTGGGAGGCCGAGGCGGGTGAATCACTTGAGGTCAGGAGTTTGAGACCAGCCTGGTCAACATGGTGAAACTCCATCTTTAATAAAAATACAAAAATTAGCCAAGCATGGTGGTGGGCACCTGTAATCCCAGCTACTCGGGAGGCTGAGGCACAAGAATCACTTGAACCTGGGGAAGCGAAGGTTGCAGTGAGCCAAGATCATGCCATTGCACTCCAACCTGGGTGACAGAGTGAGACCCCGTTTCAAAAGAAGAGGAAAAAAAAAAAAAGAAGAAGAAGGCTTTCTCTTATCTTTCTCTTAACAAAGACTGAGGTTTCAAAAATAAAAAGTCAAAAACCAGGCACCTCACTCAGAATAACGAGACATATTTTAATGACTATACTGAACACAACATTGTTAAACTTACCAATTTTTTCTTGTCACTTTATTTTTTCTAGTTCTTTAAAAAAATTTCAAACCTACAGAAATGCTGAGATGATAGTAGAATGATACATTACAAATCATTTCCTCAATTCACCAACTATGACATTTACTATACAGTAATGTGCCACGGTCATGTGCTGTTTCGGTCAACAGCGGACTGCATATAAGATATAAGATTATAAGGGGGCTGAAAAATTCCTGTTTTGCAGTGACTTATAGCTGTTCTAAGGTCATAGCATGAGTCATTACTCATGTGTTTGTAGTGATGTTGGTGTAAACAAACCTAGTGCACTGCCAGTCATACAAAAGCTTAGCACATACAATGATGTACAGTATGTAATACCCGAAAATGATAATCAATGGCTGATAGTGCTTTTTGTATTTACTATACTATACTTTTTCTTATCGTTTTAGAATATACTCCTTCTACTTATTAAAAAAATTAGTTAACTTTAAGACAGCTTCAGGCAAATCCTTCAGGTAATATTCCAGAAGAAGGCATTGTTAACATGGGAGATGACAGCTCCCTGCATGTTGGTGCCCCTGAAGATCCTCCAGTGGAATTAGATGTGGAGGTGGAAGACAGAGATACTGATGATCCTGACCCTGTGTAGGCCTGGGCTAACGTGGTATTTGTGTCTTAGCTTTTAACAAGAAAGTTTAAAAGGTAAAAAAATAAAAATAAAAAATTTAAAATGCAGAAAGAAGCTTATAGCCGGGCACAGTAGCTCACATCTGTAATCTCAACACTTTGGGAGGCCGAGGTGGGCAGGTCACTTGAGTCCATGAGTTTGAGACCAGCCTGGGCAACATGGTGAAACCCGTCTCTACTAAAAATACAAAATATTAGTCAGACATGGTGTGGCATACCTGTAATCCCAGTTACTCGGGAGCTAAGGCAGGAGGGTAACTTGAACCCAGGAAGCAGAGGCTGCAGTGAGCCAAGATCACACCACTGCACTCCAGCCTGGGAGAAAGAGCGAAACTCTATCTCAAAAAAAAAAAAAAAAAAAAAAAAAAAAGCTTTTAATGATATAAAGAAAATATTTTCATGCAGTTAAATAAGGTTTCTGTTTTAATGTGTTATTACAAAAGTCAGAAGATCTTGAAATATTAAAAACTTTTTAAAAGTTACAGTAAGCTCAGGTTAATTCATTATTGAAGAAAGACAATGTTTAAATAAATTTAGTGTAGACAAAGTGTATGGTGTTTACGAAGTCTACTGTAGTGTCCTAAGCCTTCATGTTCACTCACCACTCACTCACTGACTCACCCAGAGCAACTTCCATTCTCACAAGTTCTATTCATGGTAAGTGCTCTATGCAAATGTGCCACTTTTTAATCTTTTATAACGTATTTTCACTGTACCTTTTCTATGTTTAGATATGTTTGGACACACAAATACTTACCATTGTATTACAATTGCCTGCCGTATTCAGTACAGTAACATGCTGCACAAGTCTTCAGTGTAGAAGCAATAGGCTAAACCATATTTTTTTGTGTTTGTGTAGTATACTTCATGATGTTCACACGATGACAAAACCATCTAAGAATCCATTTCTCAGAACAAGTCCCGTTGCTAAGTGACCAATGACTGGTGTTTGCTTTCTGTCTCTCTCTAAAAATATAGAAACATTGTGTTGGCTGAGCCATTTACAAATGACTTACTGACATCAGGATGCCTTATCCTTAAATTTTTCAGCAGCTTCTCTTAAGAACAAGGCACCATACCATTGCTATACCCAATAAATGTAATATTTATTATCACCTAATACAGAGACAGATTTTTTTTTTTTTTGGTGGAGGAGTGATGGAGTCTTCCTCTATCACCCAGGCTGGAGTGCAGTGGTATGATCTCAGCTCACTGCAACGTCCACCTCCCGGGTTCAAGCGATTCTCCTGCCTCAGCCTCCCAAGTAGTTGGGATTACAGGCACCCGCCACCATGCCTCGTTAATTTTCATATATTTAGTAGAGACGGGGTTTCACCATGTTGACCATGCTGGTCTTGAACTTCTAACCTTAAGTGATCCGCCTGCCTTGGCCTCCCAAAGTGTTGGGATTACAGGCATGAGCCACTGTGTCCAGCCTACATAGACACGTATTTAAATTTTCCCAAGTGCCCCAGAATGTTCTTTGTAAGTGTTTACAAGCTAAAGACCCAATTAAAGTTCATGAATTACATTTCACTATTATGTCCCTATAGTGTCATTTAATCTGGAACTGTCCCTTCATATTTCTGTGTTTATTTCTTGGCCTTGATATTTTTTAAAAGTCCAAACCAGTTATCTTTTAGGGTATCCTGTATTTTGAATATGTCATATTGCTTTCTCATTATCAGATTTAAAGTTTTTGGGAAGACGACTAAGTGATCGGTACTTCCCACTGATTTATACAAGGACATGCATAAAAATCACGTGCAATCTATTTGACCCATCCACTGGAGATTTTAAGGTTAATCCCTTGGTTGCAGTAGTGTCTAAGGGATCTCTCCATTGTGAAGATACATTTTTTCTTTGTAATTAATACGTTTATTATGACTTGAGACTACGCAAATGTTCAGTTCTCTAAAAGCCCAGTGGTTTTAGCATCCAATAATAGTCCTTGCTTGGATCCGTTATTAACGGTGGAAGCTGGTAATCTTCTGTAAAAAACAGTATATATTTTTGTCTCTTTTTCTCTCCCCACCTTTAAAAAAATACCTTTATGGTCTCAGGCACTATTTTTTGAATTCAATGTTCTATAATTCATTACCATCATTCTTTTTCTAAGTTTAAATTGCCCTAGATTTGGTCCTTCAAGAAACTGTCTGTGTCCCATCAGTCTTGTAACATCTTGATGAGTCAGAAAAGACAAAAGTGCTCAAAGTTCACCTTATGCTTCATCTGCCTCAAACCTAGAAGCAGGCATTTCCCCAAACATCCCTGCTTCTGTGGAATAGTGTTTAGGAACCAAGACTGAAGGAATTCAGTGTGTTTGTTGTTTCTGGGTTATTCTTTCTAGGCCCTTTCAGAGGACAGAGCCAGAGTTAGTAGGGAGGGGCTTGGGGGAAAGAGAGTGGAAAATACACACACACACACACACACACAAACACACTCTCTCTTACACAAACACCTCTCACCCAGGACCAGTATACCACACGGTCCTTCTTTACCTTCCTCCATTCTGTATTTTTCTTCTCCCATAGTGAGTAACCTCACTTACGATAACATCAATACATTTATACTCATTTTAATGCTACAGAATTATTTCAGAATTATGTAGTAAAAATAGTCTCAGCAACATTTTCATCTTTATGCACTTGAGTTTAACATCAGAGGTACCAAATTATCCCACGTCATCTTGCACAAGTCGCACATAGCAAGCTAACAGGCTTCTAAACAGTAACCAGAGATAATACAGATTATACACAAGTTGAAATTTGAATTGAACGGCTTTGCAATGGCTGCAAAGCTGTTTAGTTTCTCTAGAATCCCCAAAAAGTCCAAGTTCAGAACAGATTACTGATAACTTTCATTTTAATGAATCGGAGACTATTTATGCTGTTCTCCTTTTCAAAATCTATCCTGTTTGACATTTGTCATTGATTTCAAAATAATCCAGTGGGGTGGGTGTGGGGAGAAACTGAGAAGGTACCTAACGGTGGTCACAAGAATTTGGTAGTTGGGTGAGGGGCATAGGAGTGTTCTTTGTGCTATTTATACTCTCTACTTTTGTAAATGTTCACAATATTTACAGTATCTTAAAAATGTATCCGTGTCAAATCAGGGTAAGTGTAATAAGCTTAAATGACCAGCCTGGACTCAGACGTGGCTCTCTTATGTGTACCTAGGAGGTGGTGATGACACACTAGCCTACCTTTAAAAACTTGCCAAAGCAACTTACAATAAATCTGGGGGACAACTTCAGGTCCCAGGATCTTAAAGGCCAGACTATATAACTAGATTACCCTCCAGTAAGGAAAACATCAACAGCGGGGGGAAAAGAGTGATTTCAGTTCTGTCTTTAATTTTGCCAAATAATGTTGTCATTGGAGAGATATTGGATGGCTACTTTATGTTTTGGGTGTTCCCTATTCCCTTGGGATCAGCAGTTTAAATTCCCTTCATAGTCCAACATGAAACCCTTGGGTTCCAGCATAGCACAGCATCTGCCGCCGCCAGATCTGCTGTGAGGCGAGGCAGGATTTAACACAGTAAAGGGCGTCATGTAAGTGAGCCCCAAACTTGCAGATCCCAGTGATACACAAGACAAAACCAGGAAACATGATCAGGATTTCCCAGGCTAAGGCAATCTGGGTGCCTTTCTGAGGGAATGAGAATGTGTGAAAAGCTTTCCAGGTGACAGGGAAGGAAGGTGAACTTTGAAGAGATTCCTACATGCTACTTGTGAAAGCATCAAAATAAATTTGAAATGACACTGGGGGCGTGATGAATCTTCTGGCTAGTAAAGCTGTTTCCCCCAACTCCATTTTGTCAAAAACAGTAAGGTGCTGGGAAAGTAACTCCGACTACACAGTAGAGAGCGGGGAAAGAGTACTTGACCTCTGACCTCTTTCTTTCCTGGGGGACTGGATGGGTGGTAACATGACCAGAGGGAGAATTTTTGCTTTCTGCCACCAAGGTGGCCAATTACAATCCAACAGAAATTGGCTCTAACAGACTCACACTCTCACCAAAAAGAAAAAAACAAGCATACTCCCCAAAGCTATAGGCCAAGGCGAGGCTTGTCCCAGGCCAGGAGACAAATAACCACTGTTACTAATGTGCACATTGGGAACCGCATTTTAATACAAGCGGTCACAACCTGGGATGAGAAATAACTTGCAAATGTTGAGCAGAAGAGTCTGGTTGAGCTTGGAAATAGATCGTCACATTCATCTTCCTTGCACACCTTACCAAGGAAAAATACATTAGACATAATGTATTCTAACCAAGGATATTTTGTTAATTTGGTGCCCATATTGGTACCAAACAATGCAAAATCCTCTCTTCTGAGTCAGAACTGCTCTTTCAGAAAAACCATCCTCGGTGTACTGGGATACGGTACTGGTCTGAGAGGCTTTTGAAAAGTTAAAACTCTGGGAGCAGCTGATGCCGCTGTTGCCTTTATCTTGCCACTCTGATACACATGGGACAATCATCTCAGCCTGGGCAGAGGAGACATGCAGAGTTGGCTCCAGGGAAAGCCTAAACTGGAAGCAGGACAGGCTGCCCCTTCTAAGGACCTAATTCCTAGACAGGCTTTTTTTTTTTTTTTTTTTTTTTTAGTAGACACAAGGTCTTGCTATGTTGCCTAGGCTGGTCTTGAATTTCTCAGCTCGAGCAATCCTACTGCCTCTGTCTCCCAAAGTGCTGGGATTACAGGCATGAACCACCACAGCTGGGCTGGTCATTGTCATCCCTCTTTTTTTTTTAGGAGAAAATAAATCCCTAATTTCTGTCCCTGCCTCAGAACAGAAGGATGCCAAGATTAGGATAGAGAATAAGCAGCCTTCAAGATTCCTGCATCAGAAATTCTGGACACACTGTTAACAATGCAAAGGAAAGAGGTTCACTAGGCGATCCTAAGGCTGGAGTACTGGAGTTGTTAACTAATTTTAAGTGACATTTAAAAAAATGTCTTGGCCGGGCGCGGTGGCTCATGCCTGTAATCCCAGCCCTTTGAGAGGCCGAGGCGGGCGGATCACAAGGTCAGGAGATAGAGACCATCCTGGCTAACATGGTGAAACCCCGTCTCTACTAAAAATACAAAAAATGAGCCGCGTGTGGTGGTGGGCGCCTGTAAATACCAGCTACTCGGGAGGCTAAGGCAGGAGAATGGAGTAAACCTGGGAGGCGGAGCTTGAAGTGAGCTGAGATCGCGTCACTGCACTCCCGCCTGGGCAAAAGTGCGAGACTGTCTCAAAAGAAAACAAACAAACAAAAAACAAAAAAAAGTCTCCTCTATTCACATTTATTTTTTCAGCCAAGATCTCAAAAACAGTAAGACCAAGTTGTATCATAGAGTATCAGCAAAAATCATCCTTTTCTTGAGAAGCCTGCGAGATTCCAAAGTGACTGGATATGAGAGTTGCTTTGTGTGCGGAAGCACATCATGCTGCCAGAAGGTTCCCTGGAAGAAGATACCTAGATGCAGGACAATGGAAGAATCCAACTCTAGGATCTTGAGGTACATTAAGACATGGTCACCACTTGGGCTGGAAAACTCAGAGGCCAGTTCCAGAGATGATGCTATTAAAAAATGGTATGAGTTGCAGCCTAGCCATAGGTTTGGAATTCTAGGAACATCTGGTAGTTGCATTCTTGACCCTGATATTTGAATTCTAGAGTATTACACCACTAAAATGAAGGGGCTACACTAGAGAAACCAATAGTAGGTAATAAATGTAAAGCATCCACATTCTGTGTCCTTATACATCACACATGTGGCCAGCTGTAGGCAAAGCAGGTTCACCTTTTCAGCCATCTTCTTTGGCTAATCTTTAAAAGTCTTGCATTAATAATCAAATGGAGACAAAGCAGTAGCAAAAATACTTTCAAGTTAGTATTCTTCAAATGCCAATTGTACTATAAAGTAGATACAAATAAACTAATCCACCAATGAAAAACCATGAAAAAAATGGTAAATATCTATAACAGGTATTATAGCTACAAATGTTTTACATGACTTTATCATTGAAATATACGTGACCTGCTTTGAAACAGAGTCAACGGCTTAAATAAATGATGACTTACATACCCACAGCATCTAAAAACATAGTGTGGAAGAGTATCATTAAGACAGATAAGCAATCAATTGTGTCATGGCCTACCCTGACTGCTCTGCGCTACATACCATAATCTTTTGCCCTCAATGAATAACAAATTTATGTCACAAGCCCTAATATACCATTCCCTCTGCTCATGTGAATAAAGTTCCATGCACTGTGTTCTACCTTCCCTGCTTCATGCTTCAGCATATAGAAAATCGCGAGTGTCTGTTGTGTTGAAATAAGTGCAACTGTTACAGGAAGGCATGAGTCAGACCCGTTTAGAAGCCTACCTAAAATTCACCAAACACATGGAGACACTTTGGGGATGCCATTTTCAGTCACTTTATTGTCAGGAACTTTATTTTTAAACTAATTACAGGTACCCAAACATTGAAGTTCGAAAAATTAAAACAAACCAAAATGAGAACCTCAACAGCCATAGTTGTCTATCTGCTGCTTATTCTTGTGGCCAAAGAGGAATTCTACTAAATGTCAAATGAAGGATGTCGCTAAACTAGAAGACAAGTTAAAGGGCCTTGTTGTCATTTCTGTCATTGTGGTGGCGGTTGTTGGCTTTCTTGGAGAAATATATCTGTGACTTTCTCATTTAATGGGCCTCTGGCCTTAATTATCAAAGCATCCCTTTTCCTAGAGGAAAAGACTAGTAATAAATACATATGGTATATTATCTAATATCTCTTATTGTCACCCCAGAAAATCTTACTAAATATAAAAGTGAACTACTGATTAGAATAGTGCCTGTCAATGGTGACTCAGAAATGATTTCCTGGATGATAAATACCTTTAACTTCATCTCTACTTGTTGCTCTCCCATCTCAGAAACTGATGACCTTCATTAAACCCCACTAGTTACTAGTTTAGTGACTGACTAGGGGGCTAGCAGGAAAGCTAACTCATAAGGCTGTGACATAAGCACTGAGGCATCCTAAAGCCTTATCTGGGTCACAATAAGTTACCTAGTTACCTATACAAACTCTACTCCACAGCCTAGCTCTGGAAAATCGGGGAAAAAGAGAGAGAGTTCAGCACCCATAACACACTCCTATGCCACTTCTTTTGCATTTCTTCTTAGCCAACAGTTGGGAGAGACTATTTTTTAGCTTGTTTCACTTTTCCTTGATCTTCTACTTTCTTAATGGCTGCTTGGATCGCCTCTTGGTCACCCAGGAACTGATGAGGCCCAACAGCACGCAGGTTTTCATCCAGTTCCAGAAGAATGGGGACTCCAGTAGGAAGAGTAATGTTGATGATGTCTTCATCTGAGATACCTGTTGATCAGGACAGGAAGAGACTAGGTGTTAAAAGACAACTCAGGAGGAAGTTCTGTTTAATTACATAACTGCACTTTAATCCCATTTAACTGTGTGCCTGAAATATGCAGGTACTGAGGGATTCCAGCTATAATTCCTGGAAGCCAGGAACTTTCCAGAAATTACAAGAAAAAAAGGCTTAGAGATTCACAGCAAGTGCTGCTACATCAGGACAGTAGATACCTTTTGGGACAATCTGTTCCTGTTTCCTACCTAAATCTGAAAGGAAGGAAAATTATTTTCTCTATGCCCACATTTGTGTTACTAGTTTTCCAAAGAATCAGGTAATCTCAAAAAATCAGAAAGTGAACCAGGAGCGTTTTCTGTGTTTCTCCTTTTATGTGTTGTACCCAGGCTAGTACTAAAATTAGGATTTTTCGCTAATCTCTAAATCTAGTTCATTTGATTAGAATGTGTTTGGTTTTCCCACACTAAGTGAGCTTGCAATACCCAGAGCTAGATCCAGTCCAGCAGGAATGCTTTCCTAGGTGCTTAGAAAGCACAGTCAAGGGGAATCAGGAAGGGATTTTACAGCATGCCTGTGAACACGGCTCGCTCTCCTGTGGTCTCTAAACATTCCAGCTGCTAAAAAAGGAAGGTATATATAATACACAAGCCACCTTTAGTCCTTTTTAAAGTACAATCGAATTACAGATAATTCAACTTGGACCAGAAGAGCGGTAGTTGTAGTAGAAGTGGTAGTAATAATATTTTTTATTATTACAAGCACTTTTAACAAGAAACAGCAAACATATCCTGAGTACATATTTCATGCCAGGTACTCTTTTAAGCATTTTGTATGTATTAACTCATTTAATCATCATTGCAATCCTATGACGATATATTATTTCTCCATGTAACAAGTTCTGGCACAGAGAGGTTAAGTAAACAATGATCACACAGATAGTAAATGGCACAGCCTGGATTCAAACCTAGGGGTCTGTACCTACTGTGTAATGTAACTCCTCTCAAGTTTCTCTGATTTCAAAGTGAGCAAAGGGAAGGCCTGACAAAGAGATGAAGTTCAACAAACTAAAAGACAACTGAAAGTATTCAAATTATCTACTTTAAAAATACTCCTTTATTAATTACATAGACTTCTAAATGCTAACCATATGCATCCTGTTCTATCTTAACAGAAAGGACCTAGCTGGAACAAGTTCAGGGGAGTCCAAGGGTTTGTCTTTACTTGAGGGTGGCAGAATAAGTTGTTATCAGTTAGCAATCAATGCACCTTTTCATTTTAATTAGCCATTGGTCCTAACTGTGAGCACCAGCCAAGGAGTCACAGAATCGTAGCACTGGATCCTTACTGCTGGGCTGGCTCTTTATTAGAATTTCATGTCAAGGCCTAGAAGAGCTACCTAATAACTCGTATACACAAACTATCCACACTCAAACAACTACGAAAATGGAAAGGATCTGAACTTGGAAGACACAGTCTCTTCCAAGTAAGTGTACTGTCCCATCACCTCCCCCGCCAATCCCCCTGCAATGTCCTTTGCAATTTTAGGCAAGTAACTTCTCTGGACCTCCAATTCTCCTGTCAATTAAAAGAAAGAACAAACGAAAAACACACACTCTTCCTTTGCCAGCATTTTAAAGGGTTGTGGGATAAAAGGGGTGGCTTAAAAGAGAACATACATGAAAAAAAGGTAGCACAATAAGTCTCTCTTCTTTCTCTATTAGGAATTCCCTTCTAGGTAAAAGATTTATACTAAGATACTCCTTTGCCCTGCCAAGCCCCCACCCTCACACTGCAACCTTACAGAAGATTACCATCACAAACTACAGCTGCTGAGAACAAATCTATTCAGACCAGACCGCTAGCTGTGTAGCAGGGAGATGACTGCTCTAGATTCTTAGCACCTTCCGGCTCCATCAGGTCAGAAATGTCAGCTAGCTGCACGACAGCCACCACATACATCCCTCGGAAAGAGCAGGAGGGGAAGTCAACAACCTGTCGTTTGGAGTCAGGTGACCACTGAGCCTTTCAAATCCAACAGTACTCACTCCCAAATCCAGGGGAAGCTCTGGAGGTCTCCAAACCTAACTCATTCAACTAACTAGTAACTGAGGGCTCTTTATGTTCCTAGTACTCTGTGGCAGAACATGTGCGAGTGACCTTGGCCAAGATTTTACCTCCAATGAACTATTTCTTCATTTATAAAATGAGAGAGGATAGTCTCTCTAGCACCAGCATTCCTTTATTTTATTCTTAATGGTTAAGAAAAGCAGAGGCACCTTAGAGACACAAGAGCATGAGGACACTGAGTACTGTTTATATTCATCTACTGTGCAAGGACCATGCTTTATCTGTTTCCAGAGTCTGTAAGCATATTGCTCACTAAATTGGAGAGAAAAATGGATTTTATAGATTTCTCCAAATAATCTTAATTCTAAAAATTAATTTGTTAAAAGATAACAAAAGTGACAAAAGTGACCATGTTTGACTAAAGTTTACCAGGAGAAGCAGAAACTATGGGTGTACGTATCTATCAGCATCTCGGATTCACCACTCATAGATGTGTGTCTTTGCAGTGTCACCAACCATTAATCTTAAGCTCTTGAATCCAGGACTTTATTGTAGAATGACTGAACATTCTACTTCTATTCAACATTGTAAGATTCTAGCCAAGGCAACTAGGCAAGACAATGAAATTAAAGGCACCCAGATTGGAAAGGACAAAGTAAAACTATCTCTATTTGCCGAAGGTATGATCCCACCAATAACCTGTTAGAACTAATAAATTCAGCAAGGCTGCAGGATACAAGAACAATACAGAAAAGGAAATTGGGTTTTTAATACAGTAGCAATAAGCAACATGAAAGATTAAGTAAACAATTCTATTTATAATAACATCAAAAAGAATAAAATGCTAAAAATAAATTTAACCCAAAAAGTACAAAACTATACTCTGACTACTACAACACAGTGTTCAAATTAAAGAAAACCTAAATATGTATTTATGGATTAGAAGACGTAACACGTATCAAGAGGGCAACATTCCCTAAATTAACAGATTCAATACAATTCTATCAAGAATCTCAGTGGACTTTTTTGTATAAATTGACAAACTGATCTTAAAGTTCATATGGAAATCTAAGGTACTCAGAATAGCCAAAACAATATTGAAAAAGAAGAAAAAACCAAGGGACTCATAGTTCCTGATTTCAAAACTTACTACAAAGCTATAGCAATCAAGATAGACACAGATAAATGAAATAGAATTGGGAACCCAACATAAACCCTCATATTTTTTATCAATAGATTTCCAACAAGTGTGCCAAGGCGATGAAATGCATAAAGAATAATCTTTTCAACAAATAGTACTGGGATAACTGTATATCCACATGTAAAAGAATGAAGTTGGATCCCTAATTCACACTTTATAAAAAAATTAACTCAAAATGAATCAAAGACTTAGAGTCAAAAGCTAAAATTGTAAAAATTTTTTAGAAAAGAAGCCATAGGAGTAAAGTCTTCATGACCTTGAGTTAATTAATAGTTTCTTAGATATGACACCAAAAGCATACACAAGAAAAAAAAATAAACTGGCTACATAAAAATTTAAAAATGTTTGTGCTTCAAAGGACACTATTAAGAACATAAAAAGGCAACCCAGAGAATGGGAGAAAAATTTGCATAGCATATATATTCTAGATATATATGTTCTAGAATTATCAGATGTAAGAACTGCCTCCAATAATAAAAAGACAAATGATCAAATTTTAAAATGGGCAAAAGGTTTGAACAACCATTTCTCCAAAGATATACAAATGGTCAATAAGCACATAAAAATAGGCTTAATATTACTAGCTATCAAGGAAATGCAAATCAAAACCACAATGAGATACTACTTTGTACCCACTAGGATGGCAACAATAAAAAGTCAGATTATAAACAAGTGTGAGTAAGCATGTGGAGAAACTGGAGTCATAATACACTGTAAAATCAGGTATGCAAAAGGCTATAGCCTCTTTGGAAAACAGTCTGGCAATTCCTTTTGTTACACACACATCTACCATATGACCCAGCAATTCCACTACTAAGCATATACCCAAGAGAAATGAAACATGAGTCTATATAAAACTTGTACACAAACCTTCATAGCAGCATTAATCATAATAGCCAAAAAGTGAACACAACACAAATGTCCATTAGCTAATGAACAGATAAATTAAATGTGGTATATACATACAATAGAATATTATTTGGCAATGAAAAGGAATGAAGTACTGATGCAAACCACAATAAGGTTCTTGGAAGAACCTTGAAAGCATGATGCTACTAAATAAAAGAAGTCAGTCACAAAGGACCACTTATTGCATGAGTTCATTTATATGTAATGTCCACAACAGGCGAATCTATAGTGACAGAAAGTGGATTAGTGGTTGCCCAGGGCTGGGTGGAATAGGGGAGGGACTGAGGGGACAGTAACAGCTAAGGGGTGCTGGGTTTCTTTTTAGGGTAGTGAAAGTGTTCCAATATTGATTGTGGTAATGGAGTTACAATTTTGTGAATACACTAAAAGTCATTTAACTGCATACTTTAAATGGCAAATTGCATGGTATGTGAATTATAATGCAATAAAGATGTTAAAAAATAGTAAACAGGGCCCAGTGCGATGGTTCACGCCTCTAATTCCAGCACTTTGGGAGGCCAAGGTGGGTGGATCACCTGAGGTCAGGAGTTCAAGACCAGCCTGGCCAACATGGCGAAACCCCGTTTCTACTAAAAATACAAAAATTAGCCAGGCATAGTGGTGCGCGCCTGTAATCCCAGCTACTCGGGAGGCTGAGGCAGGAGAATTGCTTGATCCTGGGAGGAGGAGGTTGCAGTGAACTGAGATTGCACTCCAGTCTGGGTGACAGAGCAAGACTCTGTCTTTTAAAAAAAAAAAAAAAAAAAAAAAAAAAGTAAACAGATCCAGAGAGGTTAAATAAACTTGCTCTAGTCACAGGACTATTGAGGCAGTAAAAATGGACCTTTTTAAACTACCAAATCCCCAGGATTTAAACCCTGGTCAGGTGACTTATCCATGGTTATTTCCACGACTACCGAGGAGGAGAGAGAAGAATGTTTCTATGAACGCTCTACCCTTGTGAAAGGCTGGGTCCTAACTGGACATCTGCTGATGCATCCAGTGTTCCCACGACTGGTAAAGAGAATAAGTTTGTCTGATCCCCAGCTAACATATGGGCCAGCTAACACACTGTGATCATGATGGGCTACGTTTAGGAGTTGTTGTCTGTGACTTTAGAAACAAGTTCCGGGTCTTCAGCAAGGGGCTGGGGCATACATGGGATTCACTTGTTTGACCATGGCCTCAGATCTAACCAGATCCACCAGGTCCCCTCTTTAACAGCGGCACTCTCAAGTTTGGTCCCTTTTATGTGGGACCAAATTAAAGAGCCAAATAAACAAAGGCCACCGAAACTATAATATTTCAACTACAAAGGAAGAAGAGTTCTACAAAAATAGTAATGTTTCCAATAAATAAATAAAATCAACATTCCACTTTAATGACTACTCAAGCCATTCACACAGCAGACTAATTACTTACAAATATTTAAAATACTCAGACTGGTTAATAATCAGTCAATGAGACTTAAGTGACTAAAATTTTAAAACAGCAGATTAGGAAAAACCACAGTGAAGCCATTACTCATTACTCAATTTTGGCATAAGTTACATTCAACATCCTAAGAAAGTTAAGCAGGCAGAGCTCCTAAGGCCAGAATAATGCATCTGAACTATATTAAACCAAACTGAATTAGTGCTATCTTATATAATATCCTATTATAAACTCATTCACTGGAACATTATAGGAAAGTTAAAAATGAGTGGCACATCCCTCGATAACTGGCTCAGATTTTTCTACAATTCTATGGTCGTCTCTCCTTATAAGTGGGGGATTTGTTTCAGGACTGCACGTGTACCAAAATCCACTCACACTCAAGGCTGGAAGTCAGCCCTACGTCTACACAGGTTTCACCTCTAGCAAGTGTGGTATTTTTGATCCAAATTTTGTTGGAAGAAAACCCATGTATAAGTGAACCTATGCAGTTCAAATCCATATTGTTCCAGGGTCGGCTATAAAGGGAACCACCACTGAGTTCTCACCCTGTACCGACCCCTCTCCGCAGTGGTGTGGAGTTAAATACAGTTGTCATTACTTAGTGGACCATATTACTAAATAATTTCTGGACTCTAGCAGCCAAACCATAACAGTGTTACTTACAGTTGAACAAACATTTACTAAATTCTTGCAGTGGGCAAGGCACTGTGTTCTACAGTAATGTGTGGAGGAGCAGGTGCAGGGCGAGAACTCAGTGGTGTTTCCCTTTACAGCTACCCCTGTCTTTAAGGGTCCGCCATTGCCTTTAAGTCTTGAATCTTCATGTAGAAGCACCTCGGAGCTAACTGCAGTCAATTTAAATAATGGGATATTTTAAGGAAGAAATAATGAAAGTTTGGGATAATAAGTCCAGGAAGTAACTCAAGGTCAAAATTGGGGAGAAAGTCAAACAACTTTATTTTCTGCATAGAGGACTAACTTCAGGAAGTCAAATTTGCACCTACCAACCCTCTCCCCTAAGTCACCATAGCAGGAACAGGAACCAAAGACAAACTGTTACGTACACTGTACATCTACCAAAGCACCTCCTGGTAGAGGTGCTTGTGCAAATGCTCACTTTCCCCACCAGGATTATAAATTCCTTGAGAACAGGAACAATGTTTGATCCATTTCTGTATCACCCATGTTGTTAGAACACAGAGCCTTACCCACTGCAAGATTTAGTAAATGTTTGTTCAACTCTAAGTAACACTTTTATGGTTTGGCTGCTAGGGTCCAGAAATTATTTAGTAATATGATCCACTAAGTAATTACAACTGTATTTGTTATGTGAATCTACTTTTTACATGTAACTAAAGGCTATAAGGAATAAAATGTTAGGCTGGGTGTGGTGGCTCACGCTTGTAATCCCAGCACTTTGGGAGGCAGAGGCAGGCGATCACGAGGTCATGAGATCGAGACCATCCTGGCTAACACAGTGAAACCCCGTATCTACTAAAAATACAAAAACAAAATTAGCTGGGCGTGGTGGTGGGTGCCTGTAGTCCCAGCTACTTGGGAGGCTGAGGTGGGAAAATGGCGTGAACCCGGGAGGCGGAGCTCGCGGTGAGCCGAGATCCCGCCACTGCACTCCAGCCTGGGGGAAAGAGACAGACTCCATCTCAAAAAAAAAAAAAAGAACAAAATGTTAATTAAAAATCCTAAAACATAAAGCCTATATATGGAAACACCCTAAGGACTTTGTCAGAGGTGCAGTATAGACAAATTTCAGAAAGAGGTTAAAAGCTCCACAAAAGGACCCTGTGTCTCATTCACATATAGGTGCAGTATCCCTTGTACCAAGAACAAGACCTGATGTAGTGAACCCTAGGTGCATACCTGAACTGAATAAATTCTAACTCTCTGGGTTTTCAAATTAAATCTAGTCTTTTACTGTTGAAGCCTTGATTAAACACTGTGCTCCCCATGACCTTACCAAGAAAAAAAAGGAGAATTAAAAGAATCTTAGCCTCGAAGAAAAAGCTGTTGACATCTAGTGCCAATAAAATAAACAATTCAAATTAAATGGCTTTATATGTTCTTTGCTTTTCTCCAAAGTGTTCAAAATCTTTGAATTTTAGAAAACAGAAGAGATGGACAGAGAGACAGATTTGCTACAGGACGAAAAGGAAAGCAGAAACCCCAATTCTGTAGTGCATACGCTTTGGAATCAGCAAAAAAAAGGGAAACAACTCCAGTCAACTCATTCATTAAATAAGGTGCGACCCACTCATTCCTCACTTCCCTCTCCTGGTCAGGTAATCACAATTCAAACCCTACCGACAAACAATCTGTGATAAGAGTTCTGTATTCCTTTATGGCCAATACGAGCTGAAACAAGAGATTCTGAATCTCATAGATGATCTACCTATTTTTAATTTTAATTATTTAAGATCTGAATACTATATATGTAAAGATGGGCTAGGGTGATTTGAATATTATAACACGATAAAATAACAGACTAATTTAGAATAAGGCACAGAGAAGAATCCATTCTACGTTTAATTTTATAGTTAAAATAGCCTATAATGTTTAAAAAATAAAGGGTTCTACAAATCAATTATTATAAAAGACAGCTTAGCCACAGCAATAGGCAACTACTTGCCTCACAGAAGAGAGGCCTGAATTGGCTGCTTCTGAAAATATCACACTAAAATGCCAAAGGTGACCAACTCATCAGTCCCTGTCCCCACAGCTAGTCCCAGCTGACCATTCCTCTCTGAGTGTCTAATTTTATCTCACCACTTCTGTGCCTTGCTATATATGCAGCTGCACACAGGTCTTCAGGGATCAAGTCTGTCTTGCATGAGTGTCTTGTGTGTCACTCTTACTCCAAACTTGAAACTGCCTCGTCCTGTGCTTGAACCCAGACTAAACAATCCATTTCCTCTGGCGAGATGCAGACTACATCCAGTGTTTCATTTTGGTACCTGGCTTTTCCTTTGATGCTCGCCAGCAGGAAACAAACAGGAAGTGACTATGCCAACCACAGAGAATGAAACACATGCCTGTCTGGAACACTACAGTACAGGATGCTTTCAGATGCTTAGGTTGACATTAGATGTTTTCATGGTGGCGCTTTGTGAGAAGTGTCTCTGAACCAGTCAGAAGTGGGCCCTGCTTTTTAACCTGGACTTATTAGCACAATCATAGGTAATTATATTTCTAAAAGCCAGTAAAGCAGTCCCTTAAGTAGGCATTTTTTTACTATATAATATTCTGTATGTCTTGTTTTGACTTCTTTCTTCTGAAAGCATTAACTACCATCAGATTAAAAGTAAAGCAATCTCAAAAGCATATACGATTTATGAGCAGAGATATTATATAAATAAGTCATTTGACAGGGGAAGGGTCATCCCCATCAGCCAAGAAGCCTGTCTTAGGTACTGACTTGTGGTTTCCGTGTTTGCAATTCTCATACAAGAGTGTTATCTAGCTCCGAATCAGTATCACTTGCCTCTCAGTGTACCATTCATCTGTGTTGACTCCAGGAGGTCCTTGTTGACCTGCTCCTAGACTAGGTTGTTACAAGAAGAAAAAGGAGGGGATGGAAGGCCCAATTAAGGCTAACGAAATTGATGATAATAAGCAGAGATAGCTCTGGGATAAAAAAATTAAAAAACTTTATTAGAGGAGTTTTCAACCTGTAACAATAGCAAGATTCTCAAACAAAACTTCATGGTCCAGCAACTTAAACATAACTTCTCATGAAGAAGGACTTTAAAAGGCAGTTCCCTATAATGACCATGATTTAGGTGCTAAATAAAGTCAGAACCAGATGGCTCCTGAAGCCTCGAGAAAGCATAACAAATGCCCTCCAGGTTAGTTTTCAAAGGCAAAGATAGGTGCATATAGCAACCTTCACTTAATTCTCCTAATTGGCAATGGTGAGTTCACTGGATAAAGCAAGGCTTTTTGAGGTAAAATTTACATACAGCAAAAGTCACCCTTTTTAGCATATAAGTTCTATGCGTTTTGACAACTGCATACAATAATGTAATAACCAGTCAAGATATAAAACAGCTCTATCAAACCCTTAAAATTTCCTTGTGCCCCTTGGCAGCCTACCCTTTCCCCACCCATCTGTTTTATTTCCCGATAAAACATTTTCCAAAATGGCACATAAATGGAATCATACAATACACAGCTGTTTTAGCCCAATTTCTTTCACTTAGCACAATGCAGCTGAGGTTCATCCATGATAATGGGTGTATCAATAGTTTGCTTCTTTTTATTAAAGCAGTTTCTTTAAGCAAAACAGCTTACTGATCAATGACTGATCAAACGAAACACAAAATATGACCTGGATATACTAAACAGCAAAGTAAAACGCAGTATTGAACCATAGCTTTCCAGTGAGTTCAGAGCCATGTTCTAGTTCCTACATAAAACAACATGTGTATGTAAAATGTCTAAAACTGTGCTTGGCACGCAGTATGCACTCAAGAAAGGTCATCTTGTATAGCTATGCTAGAGTGCGCCATTCAGACCACAATATTAAAACAGCAGTAATAATTTAAGACTTGATTAGTTGCATTAAATTACCTTTTTATAGTTTACCTGCCATGGATGTTCTTGACTCAGCTTCTTAAAACACAGTATTCCAAACGAAGAACAGGTCAAGGGGAAGGGCTACCTTTTAGAAAAAAATTTTAAAGCCCAGGTGATAACCGTGTGTGGAGCCTCAGTGAACTGAGTTTTGAGTAGAGTTCTTGACGCCAACTAATTACCATGATCGTGGCCAAGGAATCTGGAGTCTCTTTAGACTTCAGTTTCCTCCAACAGCACCTGTCTTCTTTTCCACAAATGGAGAAAGCATCAGTCAGGATATGACTGCCTATAGTGTCATAATATCAAATATTTGAGAAACAGCTAACATCTTCAGAACCAATACTCTTTACTGTTGAGGTACACGGATGATACCTCTAAGAGTAGACCTAAGAGGAGATGAGTAATATTAGCATACTCTTAGTAGAAAATCTTAAAGCAATTTGAGATTTCAGCATAGACCAATATTCTAATTAGTTATTTAACTGGGGTCATAATTCTTCCCACCCCACAGTTACAGTTTTCAAACAATAAGAAAGTATTTTTCTGATAGGACAGTATGCTGTCATTGATGCTATCAGTTACCACACTCCTTCCCAGTAGGTAAAACATTTTAACTTGTCAAGCAGTTTAAAGACAAAATAGGGAAAATTTACTCCAGTCTCTTGAAAAAGCCTATATTATATGGGTGAAGTTTATATAAACATCTCTAGAAAGCATGGCTTGGAATCAGATGAATCTGCAGCCACAAGTGTTTTTACTTTCATAATAAATGAAAAGAAATTTAGCAACTTTTGTGCTTACAGAAATATAAACCCTGGTTATGCCCATTTCTAGATTCAATTCTTAACAGTAGTGAAAGCTAACATCTTCATTTTCATGTTTTTATTTTCTAAAAGTGGGTCTCACTATGTTGTCCAGGCTGATCTTAAACCTAGGTGCAAGCAATCCTCCTGCTCCACTTCCCTAGTAGCTGAGACTACAGGTGCGTGACACCACATCCAGCTCAACATCTTTATAGTGAGGTAACCACATAATTTATCATCCAGGCTGGGGCACTTTTGAAAGTAAAAGGAGATGCTATTAATAATTACATTCGGACAACAGATATTAATCACAAAATGGGCATGTATGATCATGTAACTTGATAGTAAGCATAAACTTGCAATTAAGATAGTAACTTTTGTTTTTTACCACCATTAACACATACACATGAACTGGCAAAGTAGTCCTTCCTATAAAAGAAAATCTTTATTTCCCCCTAAACAGTTGGGGAGATTCACTTAATTTCTGGAGTCTCGAAAAGTTAGCATCTAAATCCTATGAAATGTTTTATTTTAGGTTGGTAAGTAACCAAGCACACAAACCCCTGTAATTTGAGCTCTGGAAAGTTAGACATGCAATACAAGAGGACTAATATTAGACTAACACACCTATTCTGGCGAGTTAATACATCTATAATCAATTTTGAAAGGGCTAAAATCTCACTAAATTAACAGAAATGATGTGAAAAAAATACGATGACATACTATTTCTTCTGATCTTGAGAAAGTCACTTATGCTTAATTCTTACAGTTGTGAAATAGAATACTTGGGACCTTATTTTTCAGTAGACATTGTAAGAGAAACTTTATTAATGCAGATTGGCATTTAGAGACAATAAATAACTTATACAAAAATGATCCTGAAATCCAATCCAGCCTATTTCATGTACATGACATAGTTTCTTCCATGTTAGGTGTGGGAGTTAAGTCATAGTAGGGAACTATAGCAACATCTAAGAACTCCATTAGTATTAACTGGAGTACCACCAGGGGGTACTATAGGCCAGAAAGGAACAAAGTTGTCATATCCAGGATGGGTGAGAGTCAAGCTTACAAACTATCCTTCTATTTTCCTGCAGACAAATCTGGATCCTCACATCCACTCTATTAGTTTTCTTGGCTACGTTCTTATCCTAACTGCATGTTCTGGCTTTTCTGCCATTTTTTCCCTCTAACTCTCTGCCATCCTCCTTGGTCACCAACCCCATCGTTTTTATTTTCTACCTCTCTCATAGAGACCTCCCTCTCCGGTAGCCCACGTCCTTTTCTGTGTTCACATACTTCCCACTGAAGTCATTGCCTACAGTTTACCTCTTTCTGCACCAACCCCACTGTTTTACATCAATTATCCCCCAAATAAAAACATTTTCTACAAAGCCTGTTTATGGTAATAGGAATAGGAGTTATAATGTAAGGCTACTTTAAAATGTCATTAATGGCCAGGTGCACGGTGGCTCATACCATAATCCCAGCACTTTAGGAGGCTCAGGTGGGTAGATTGCTTGAGGCCAGGAGTTCGAGACCAGCCTGGCCAACATGGCGAAACCCCATCTCTACTAAAAAGCTACAAAAATTAGCCAGGTGTGGTGGTACACGCCTATAATCCTAGCTACTCAGAAAGCTGAGGCATGAGAATCGCTTGAACCCAGGAGGCGAAGGCTGCAGTGAGCCAAGATCGAATCACTACATTCCAGCCTGGGCAACACAGTGAGACTTTGTCTAAAAAAGAAAAGAAAAGAAAATGTCATTAATCTCTAAAGGTCATTCAGTTTCATACTTCCAACTTAAAAAAATAAAATAAAATAAAATAAAATAAGACCTTTAGATGAAGGACTGGAAGCTGCCTAAAGACCAATGCCTGCTTATTT